TTTGTCAGGAGCTTGGATACGTATGAGTTGATGAAATTGAAGGGTGGGAGTTGTGGTATTGTCTCGCAAATGAATTGTGTTTCAGTGTATCCAGCATCAGCTATCACTGCATTGTGAATGCCGAGTGACACAAATGGAAGAGAATGGTCTAACGTTTCGCGCTTACAGCTGAGGGCGAAGCTTTAAAGTGTCCATGAAATCAATCTGCCAACCCGTGAGCTTGTGAGTATTATGCGATCTCTCGGAAACGCACGATTTCTAGTAGTCTGGTGAGACAACAGAAAAGTCCAGATTCAGCAACGATAGTCGGAGAACAGCGGAAGTTTGCGAAGGCGCGTGCGACTGTCCCAGCAGTACTATCTTTAACGAGTACTGTTTCTGCTCATCGTGCAAAACGGTAAGAACTAGTTGGGATACATGAGTGTCCATTTGAACCCGGCAAGTGTCCTAACAAAATAATATGGAATCGGTAGAAACGGCCGTCGGGAAAACAGTATGAGGGACATTTGTTGTGTCCAATCACCTTACATTCATGGCAGCTTACACGGGAGCGTGCCCACTTTGTCTCATCTATAGTCATACTAGGCCAACGAAAACATTCTGCCATAATCTTGATAGTTGCTCGAACACTTGGATGAGGAATTTCGCACAGCGCACTAAAGGCACTGAGTCGGTAAATTTTTGAAACGATTGGGCAATCCCTGCCTGTAGATGTGTCACATAGTAAGGTTTCCTTACCCGTTCCCATCTGTTTGATCCGTAGCTTCAGGGTTATAGAAGATAACTCGTGCTGAAGATCAGTGTCTTCTTAATGAGGCTAGGTAAATTTAGGAAGATTGATTCTTTAGAAAGTGTCTGAGGAAATTATGCGAGACAAGACTTTCGCCACTATATTATCTTCCCCTAAATTATGTTGTGTATCTGAAGAAAACCGAGGAATGTAATCCAGTTATCGAGACTCCCAAAGGGAGTATTTGTCTGAAGGCAGACTAAGAGGGAACTTTGGGAGGTTTGTGGTCGATGATTATAGTGAATTCGCGACCTTTCAAAGAGTGCTGAAAACATCATGCAGCACGATACATGACCAAGAGTTCCCTACCGAAAGTGCTATCCCGTGAATCAGTGCTTTGCGACTGTCAGGTTTTGTTTGTTCATTGTAGTATGACCTCTCCGATTAAATGGTGGTTGGAGGTAGTCAACAGGAAACCCTGGACTCGGTTTCGTGCTACTTGGCACTCGTCAGCAAGGTGTGCCTGTAATCTTGAGGGAACTGGTGCTCCCTGGCGGATTCGATCTCGTGTCACCCAGCTTCACAGTCAGAGACGTTACCAGTGAGCTATCCGAGCCGCGACTGACCTCCTGTAGGACTGAGATGTAATCACAATTGATTGATCACTGTGCGGCGATCAATTTCATGCGTGTCTAGTCCTTTTTAGTGCAGATCGAATGCTATCGATCATGTTACAACGTGGCCACCAGTCGCGACTGGATGTAATTGGTTATAGGCAATCCCGAATGGCCACCACTGTAGTTTTCAGTAGGAGGATGCCCTGAATATTAATCGTGTGTCCGAGAAAATCCTTCATTTCGGTTCCGATTTGGCATTTCTGAATGTTAACAATGAAGTCATAATTTTGGAGTCGTTTGAAAACGAGGCACAGATACTACAAATAAGATGCTCTGTCCGGAGGTGCAATCCTGCGACCATCAGCATATATGTCCATGAAGGTGAGAATACTAGATACGTCACCAATGACCATCTGGAGAGTTTATGCAGTCCGTCCTAAACCGGAAGGTGTGAGCGAAAATTCGTGATGATGGTGTTCATATGAATGTCGTTAGCAGACGTGGGAATTTAGTTACAGTCCTTAGCAGTGTCCACTTTCGAAAAAGTCAGTCGTATCGTTCAACACAGTTGTCAATCCACGAATGTTTCAACAAACAGATAATCTACTTACCTCCATTTCCACGTATCGACGGGTAGATTATGATGTTGTAACAGGTCTATACGGATGATCGGTGTAAGTCTCTGCAAAAACGTAAATCAGAGTGACACCATCACCACTGACTGAATTATCCACACAAGGAAAGACTCATAGATTTATTTATACAGAGCTGACAAATCTACAACATGTTGGTACTCCTATGTACGGCGACAAACAGTCAATTCGCTCGATAGGAAAATAAGCGGACTTGCGGGAAAATCACGATACAAAACTAACGAGGACTTGGGCACTCGAGACATGAATCATTTCAAACATGGAGGGAAGTATATAGTGGTATGCAGGGTGATGATTCTCAGTAACTGAGTAATGGAGCTAGAGGAAAACCTACGAATGTAGAGTCAAGCAATTGGAGTTAGTTTCAGTGTGCTGCCGGAGAAAACGTGATGATGTGATTGTGGCAAATAACAATGAGTGCATCGAGTCACTTATTAGATCATCGCCAACACAATCTTTGAGCAGACCTCGAATATACGTTCACTAGTGAACGAACACCCCAATACACTCCCTTTCTTTCTCATTAGGAGTTGACTACATTAAGAGTGCTTTCGCAGCCGAAGTAATTACAGCCTTCATAACGGACAGCTTAAAAAGGAGACTTGACAGGCTCGTACTCAATCGTGGTTGACCATCCTCCCGCCTGAACTAGATGTAGCTAGTGTATGAGTAGCAGTAAATACATCCTCGAAACAAATATATCTGTAAGCCTCTAACTTTGATGCTGACCTCGGTAATTTTACTGGACGCAACCTAGCTAAATGCGATTGGTTACATAACCTCACCACAACATGGGTATGTACGTCGTGCTTCTCATTTCTTGCAAATATTGGCCATCTTAGATGAACGCCTCTCAGCATATTGACATTCTTCCAAAAAGCTTCGAACTCATTCGCCCCTTACCTCTGATCTTACTAGGTTGTTATCTTACGATTATAAACAAGAACGTTGTTAAACCTTTCTAGATGACTAGTAACTTACTATCTGTTATCATCTACACATATCATTAGCTTGTTTCTATCCCGCCTACGATTATTATCATTTCCGTTTTCCTTTTTTCCCTACGCCTCGATCTTCTCACACCACCTGCTTACCAATTAATTAATTTGTTTATTTAGTTACTTCATGAGGCAGTCGTCAACTCTTAGCTCTCGAATTTTCACTTAATTATTTAGTTTCAGTACGACTAATCAACCTTCTATCTGTTCGAGTGATAGCCATTGGTATCCAGAAACTCTACTGTGCAGAGACAAACCCACTCGCTTATATTGCAAAATTCACAAACACACAAATAACTAACAAACTGGTTGGGATAATTAAAATTAGGTGGCTAGACTTCCACCCATTGGACATTGCACAGGATTTTGAACCGTAATGAATCACCAACAATAGAGTGCAATGAAACCAGTCAGTTCATAAGAATATTGGAAATATTGATAATCGAAGGTCACCTTAATCCCTCTCCGCTTGATCATAAGTTTGGAGACGCATTTGTTGGTTGTTAGCTTAACTTGGTTTTACACTTACGCCATTGTAAATTATTAGTAACTGCATCCATTTTAACACATTAGGGTGTCCATGTGTTTCTGAGTTATGACTGAAGCTTTTTGTAATATACATCTTGCTTGTCGTTAAATATGTAATGACATTACATCTTTACACTGTAATGTCTGCTTGCAATAGAATCCGAGTTAAAGATTGAATTTATGGCAATGATTTAAGGTTTGACATGGGATGTATATATACGTAACAAACTTTTCTCTCATCCCAATCAACCAACAAAGGGGAACTGTCTACTTTTCGCTTAAATATCCGTCGAATTGCCTACTTTTCGTCGAAATATACGCCGAATCGTCTACTTTTCACCTTAATATACTCTGAATTGTCTGCTTTTGCATAACCTGAAAGGTCTCCTATGTTAGCCTTTGTTCTCACAACACCATATTTACACAGTAAATGAGCTAATCAGATGTTTTTTAATGATTAACGGGTCAGTTTGTTGTATTAGCGTTCTTCTTCATGTAACTAATTATTGGCAATTTGAGGAAATAGTCATTCAGTCATACAAAACGTGGGACCTGACATATGTGTAGACGTGTTGACGTGCTCCATTAGCATAGCAATACGAAAATCAAATCAAATCCTAATGTGGTAGGAGTAGTAGCTGTGTTAGTGATAGTAAAAAAGATTAGGTATCGAAGATCCTAATCGAGAAAGTACAAATTAGTGAAATAAAAACTAAAGAAAGGTATTACGAATTTAGATACTCAGATGCTAAGCGATGACTAAATGAACTTAAAAACAAACTGTCCTGTCAAAAAAAAACTCACGGCTGAATTATATATAAACTTTTTAGAAGGTACTGAAAATGTTTCGGCGTAAATAATAGTCGATGAGAGTTCCGTGAAAATAAAGGGGTTCAGAGTTACCATTACGCTGACTGAATCTTATTCGTATTGTAAAAACTTGTCTGACAAGTAATCACAATATCTAGACTACATAGTGGGGCGCATATATATCTAGTGTCCCTTGTACCAATATTTGTGTTCAAATAAATAAATAAATAAATAAGACTACATACCTAGTGCACTACCGACATCATAATAAAAGTAGGTCATGCATCCTGGTGTTGTCACTCCAAATCTTGCGACTGATAACTAATTCTACCACTTTCTGTCTAATTATTTAGTTGAATGCGTGATCATCTCTACAGTACCTGCTCAATAATACAATGCAGTGCTGTTCTTGCATCAGTTTTTGTTGTGTCCTATGAACTAACTCCTATCACGAAGTTACTGCTTAAAGTTCACACCAGATTTTAAGTTAAAACATGGTACTATGAAATGTCTTTTGAAATGTAAGATTTATTCTGAATATTTGGATATTACTCCCACACTGACCTTTGTCACGACGTTTGTAATTTGATTTGTGGTATTTTATCCCAAACGATAAATCTATGTGGTCACGTTCCACATTTTTAAAATTAACGTTTTTATTTTAGACGGCTTCACTTGATTAAGTGCATTCACTATAGAGGAAAGCTTTAGCGATGGATAACTACCAATCATTGGTACCAATTTCTGCAGCAGTTTTCGTAGTATGGTGTGTTTTACTTGGAATGTCTTTTCATCAAATCGATGAAGGTTTGTGCTCTAATAAAAATTTATGATTACAGGTCATGTTGGTGTCTATTACCGTGGTGGAGCTCTACTATCTCAGACCAACGGACCCGGTTATCATCTGATGATTCCCATCATAACAACATACAGACCTGTTCAGGTATGAACTACAGTTTTTCGGAATATTTCGTTTGGCAGATTACTTTACAAACTGATGAAGTAAAGGATGTTCCTTGTGGTACAAGGTAATTTAGTAAAAATTAATCGTCTTGAGTTGTCTTATATAGCTAAAAGCCAAACTGTGTTATCAAAGTGTTACTCGATTTAATCAAGTTAATCATTGAGCACTGATGTTCGAGATTCTTGCTACCTTAATACTATTTTGAATCCCATCCAACTAGTAACATCTGTGGGCGCTATTCTGTAAATAGCGTTAACCAAAGTATTAAAGCTTTACGAACTGTCTATTTTTAATACTCAGGATACTTCAGGAACTATCGCATCAAAAATGTGCTGCAACTAATTCTTATAATCGTAACAGCCACGTTGACTTGATGGTCATGCTTGTTTATTGTCGTGGTATAATTAATATTTTATGTTCTTAAATAGTGAAAAACGCTTATAGAGGACTAAGGTACATCTTAGCTGTGTTTTTATTTAAATCTTATTCCTCACTGTCCTTGGTGTCATGGTGTCACCTTGAAAATTTCATGTTTTATGTGACCTGGTATCCTGTAGTACCAGACATTTTTGGTTGTAATTAGTACCGAATTCAGTTACGTTACGAAAACAGCTTAACATGAAGTTGAGGTTTGGAGGTCAAACTTCACAAATTTGAGGTCATAGCTACGAACTTTGCTCTATGTACGTATGTGTATGTATTATCATTCGACCTGACACAAAAAACAAGACTCAAACCTGAAAAAGGAAATCTAAATTTTCTTAGTATTCCATTTTTCTCTTGAAGTCTGACCATGATGGTAAATTCAGTTAAAAAGCAATGAAAGCTAAAACAAAAAATCTAGAATTCAATGTCGTACTCTTGGTTGGGTAATAAATTAATTCATTTATTTGAACACAAATATTGATACAAAGGGGCACCGAATACATATACACCACACAATTTACTTGATTTGTATGTGGGTTGTGATACTGCCCGTGTACCCAGACCGAATCAGGCGGTTTTCCTAGGGGCCACACCCGTAGCCTTCTATCTAAGGGTTGCTGACAAGAAGTCTACGCAATGATCGTGAACAGTGGTGGGTAGCGAAAGCAAGAGAGATGGAAAAGGCAGCGGCAATAGGTAGTAGCAGACAATTGTTCAGACTTGTTAAGGAAACCGACTGTTAGCGAAACAATCTCAGAGAAAGATGGACATATTATACATTCTCAATCCAGGAGATTGGATCCATGGGCAGAACACTTTAGGGATCAGTTCAACTGGCCTTCAGCCACACTTCGGTTTCCCACGATCTTCAGTCAACCTGAATGGCAAGTTAATGTAGGTCCTCCGTCCCTTTACGAAGTTGAAAAAGCCATAGAGAATCTGAAACGAGGGAGAGCAGCAGGCCCTGACAGGTTTACTCCTGAGATTTTTAAGGATGGTGGTCCAGTATTAGCAGTGAGGTTAACTGAGGTCTTAGGTAGAATTTGGGAACTGGACGTAATCCCACCTGACTGGCCTCAATCACTGATTGTGCCAGTTTTTAAGAAAGGACAAAAGTCCTCTTGTGACAATCACAGAGGAATCACTTTGACTAATATAGTGTCTAAAATATTAGCTTCAATAATACTTCGACGCCTAACCAAAGCTCGTGAAGAGCAGACTAGAGAAAATCAGGCTGGTTTTCGACCTGGACGTGGTTGTATAGACCAGATATTCACACTACGTCAGGTTCTAGAACACAGACATGCGTTCAGACGCCCCACAATGGTAGTATTTCTCGACCTTAAGGCGGCATTTGACTCTGTTGATCGTAAGGTTCTATCAGTCAGTCAGTCAATAACAACGTAGAACTTCGTACGTACGTACATCAGTTCGAGTTGCCATACCACATGGCACAAGTCCATGAGGTCACTGACAAGTGAACTGAGTCATGTTGGTAGGTGTAGACTACCTGGTTGGGGACCGCGAGATGATAGCAACCGATGGTTAGAGACCCTGAATGACATGACTCAAAATCGTTTGCAATGGCGCAGGTGCATCCACTCTTTGTGTTCTCCCAAATTTTGATCTCCTTATTCCTCCTTGTCTCTTTTTTTTCTCCTCTCAAATTTACTTCACTGTATTATACTCATTAAGTAACATCTCCAAACACTAATCTTCCCGATTACTGCTTATACTCTTGCTACCTCTAGCACTACGGGATTTGAATCGACCACTGCATCTCTGTGCTAATGTGGTATGGCAACTCGAACTGATGTACGTACGTACGAAGTTCTACGTTGTTACTGACTGACTGACTGACTGACTGATCTAAGGGTCTGATCCACAAAGCCGTGGAGCATCGTAAGCAGATGCAGTCCCATGGTAGCCGGTGACCAACGATTGGTTCATACGCCATTCGTCCTCTCAAGTTAGTGGTGCCCATGTGCACCATTGGTTTGAAATCAAGGTTTTCCAACTCCTATAGGTGAACTCTCCGTGTCCACCAACCAGGTTAAAGCGCCGGACATTCGCTTTTCGTCCTCTCTATTTTGTAAAGAACAGCAATGCCTCGAGAAGGTAGTGTGTAGGACTAACCTGACAGTGGCCGTATACGCGTGGCCATGTGAGCGCATTTTGAGAGGGACTGCTGACTGTCCTCATCCTCGGCCGTACCAGGGTATTTAGTTAATTAAAATAAACTAATGATAATATATTTCCTTAAGTTACTGACAATCTGTGATCCGGTTTGCAAACTATAGAGTTTTCATTTTAGTTAGTCGGCGTAATGGTTACCGATGTTTCTAAACATTGGATTTTTAAGTTTGAAATCAATTACGATGGCATGTATTTATTCACCGTGCAGCGTTTTTTCTATTCGATACTGCTTTCCTCCGACCATTATCCTCTCTTTAATATATTGGTGTTCCGTTTCTAGAGTCCAACCTGAATGACATATTTATTGTACCATACTCTAAGCTATTTGCTTCTGTATTATATATATATCTTATCTTGGGAGTCTCATCAGCCCTTGTGGTCTGGTGTGTGACGAAATCTCAGCACGGATACAAAAGGATCGACTAGCTTTTACCAACTTGCGTCATTTATGGCGTAGGCGAGATATCCGTCTATCAACCAAAAGACGGGTTTACTGCGCAGCAGTTCGTTCCGTCCTACTTTATGGCAGTGAAACATGGCCGGTAAGAGTAGAGGATATTCGTAGGTTACTAGTATTCGATCATAGGTGTCTTCGAAATATTGCTCGTATATCATGGGACCATCGAGTAAGTAACACAGTTGTTAGGAAACGGGTACTAGGTAAGGATGGCAAATCAATTGATGAAGTAGTGAAACTTCATCAGTTGAGATGGCTGGGACATGTGTTACGTATATATATATATATATATATATATATATATATATATATATATATATATATATATATATATATATATATATATATATATATATAGGAACTCATTTTATGTTGTAAAATTGCAAATAACGCCTCCCGATAGTTTTGTTTATCAATCATTAATAATTGTAAGTAATAGGGATAATATGTTAAGATTGGGAGGTACTGTAATTAGTATTACTTTTCGGTGAAATATAATTATATGACTCAGTTACCAATAACGCAACCACTCATCTTCAGATTTTACGGTTTGGAATACTTAATCATTTCTGTTCTTATGCCACACAAAATATTCCTGATGAAAATTACTTGTGAAAAGCTTTCTAGTAAAAACCACCTAATCATTCTGTTTTACTATTTCTAAACACTATTGGAAAGTCTGTCACTACGTCTTATTTTACAAGGTTTGTAAATATTTTATCTTTTTATTGATCTCATAAATGATACTGTTTACATATTGTTTGCATATATACGTTCATCTGATCATTCCTTAAAAAATATATCATTCTCTCTGTTGTAAATTTCCAGTTTTATGTTTAAAATTCATTATGTAACCAGAAATTATTCTGTTTTGAAATACTAGTACTTGTGTACACTTTGAAGCTGTTGTAAGCTTTCATTCTCGAGTTGATTTAATTAGTTGTTACAAGTCTAAGTTTTTCTTTCTAAAATGATGACCGAATAAAATCATATTCATGGTTATGATCTAACGACCGATTGAGGTATGTTATTTTTATTATATAATGAGTTATTTTCAATCTAAAGAACACTAGGCGTAATGTCTTTATGTGTAGTAGTTAACTCCAAAGTTTCAGTTAATTAAGATAATATATTCTCACATAAGTAGAAGGTACAATTTTAAATAAACACAATACATAATTTTCAGGTGCTCTGAAGGTTCTCTTGTAATTGCCCAGTATTTATTCATACTACATTAAATCAGTTTTAGTTAACAAACAGTCATTTTCAGATGTTTAACTAACTCCTATGCGATACGTGGGTTGTCAAACATACTGACGATAGTCCATTTATATTTTTACTCATTTTTATTGTACTATTAGATTAATTAGTGTATCTTCATTGTGTGTCTTTGTTTCCTATCTTCCTTAATATAACCAGTGGTGGTGTTGTCATTTATTTTGATCGTGTTGAAGTAGTCAATTATTTGGCGGCTGAAAGTGGTACGTTCAATGGTTTTACTTTTTTAGTTAGTCTGTTTTGTTCAATAAGTTGAGAATCTAAGGCACATCTTTTGACTCTTTAGAGAGATGCACAGTATGCACAAGGGTTTTAAGTATTTTTAGCAGTGTTGGACTCTGATCCAATTTAGTTAGTTTCACTATACGGCCTAAATCGACTAAGAAAATTAACGGTTTTAAATCTATTGAAATGTAGTAACAATCCAGTTTAGTTGTTTGCTAACCATCAATCATAATTAAATTGCTGCTAATCGATTTGGTACTTTTAGACATGAGCTTGGTAAATTCGTGTGAACCTACACTAAGCTATTATCAAATGATATAACTGAAGTTGGAAAGACATTCCAAATATAATTATGATACATTTTTAAGATTCTTCGGAGTTCTGATCACCGTAGTGATAAGGTGTAACTACGGTATTAATCTATAGCATCTGATTTATGGTTCAACAATAAATCATTTCGTAATAGTACATTTTTGATGACTTGGAAAGTCGTCTCATGGAATTTCGACTCTTGCTAAAGTACATTCAAGCCACATAAAATAACCTAATAATTCTATAGACTTCAAGAATTTACAGATTCACTAAGCAATAACGGTACGTGGCTTATTAACAACGATCAAATTGATGTTGAAAATATCAAACTAATTCGGAAAGATTTTACAGTTATGAAGGAAAGAGAACGACTGAAGCTTTCCATGTATTACTAAACGCAGCTACGCTCAGTACAAAGGAACGCTTAACTGTCCATCTAACTTGAACCATTTATCCATATAGCTATACTTAATTTATTCTGATCTTACACCATTAGCACATATTCTACTTTTTCTTAGTACAAATATCGCATTTTTCACAAATAAGATTATATCTTATGTAAAATCACCTTAACCCGAATAACGTGTTTGGATTTTACTACTGTTTAATTAATTGGTATATTTAAAAAAAAAACATTAAACAGAGTTGGATAGTGGTTAGCAGTGGAATATAGGACATCCATCTCGTTCTGTTTGTGATATCAGCTAGATGTGCTTGCACCTCAGTGTTAGCATTGACACCGGGACTCCAGTTCAGTATCTTTCACTTCAAGTACTCAACGCATCATCCATGTAGCTACTGAATCAATATAGCCAGTAACTTGTGCAATGGATATGAATCTTCCCTTTGATATTAAGAAAAGCAATGGATTAGTCTCTCCTGATATATGTGCGGATTCCAAGTACATCCGACTGACAAGTCACAAATAGGAAAAAAGGAGCTCTCTCTATTCTATTGCTAACTACTATTCAACTTTGCTTAACATGCTCTAGATAGCTGCACTGTCAAGACAATTTTCATATATACCATGATCAATTGCAGTCCTTACCATTAACGAGAAGATTCAAACAACCTTCACAAATGAGTTATTTTAAAAATTGCTCTCTTATTTTGTTAAGAGTGTTGACCAGTTATTATTTTAAGTAATACATGTTAAAACAGAACTCATGCACTAATCACTAAACTGATATGATTGACTGCCTTAGTCATCATATGAAATTTCGACAAACATTTTTTTAGAATGTTTTTCGTAGAGATATTTAGTTAGTGGAAAAACTATCTGATTGTGTAATCCATTTTTGTATGTTTCTTCTGTTGTACATTCACTTTCTAGTTCATGATATTGTCAAGAATTATACAGCTGATTATGATAAAACACTAATATACAATAAAATTCATCATGAACTAAACCAATTTTGTAGTATACATACTCTACAAGAAGTGTACATTGAATTATTTGGTAAGTTTTTTTATTTCTATAATTTTCGAGACATTTTTTGTTTGAGTCTTCTTTCGTCAGTAATACTGTCTGTAAGACTTCAAATTATACGGCTTTTGTATTATTTTCGGTAATAAGTGATAGTTCTGAAATATAAGAAATTCTCCGCTAACTTTTTCTAATTCATATTTCCCCATTGACCTCTTCTGTTATCTATTTGTCTATTATCGCTTTTAGTTTGCTATTTTTGTTATCTCGAGGTTGTTTCTGCCATATAGACAGAGTTGTTGTACTACAAGTTTGACTTTTGTTTGGAATAGTAAAGCACTAATTTGGGATTTTTAGGGACGACAGGTATCAGTTCTATATGTGGTTTCATGATAGCTCTAATAGATATATTTGTTGACAGCTGGTGAGCGAACTAACAGACATAACCAAAATAGAGCCTAGCACATATGCTCTTTGGTCCAAGTTGGCATACCTGATTAGTGAAACAAGATTGAAATAGCGAGAGAGATCGGAATAATGTAGAACCAATGCTAAAAAGAATGATTAAACCTTGAGAGCATATTTTTAAGAGACAGAGTAAAAAGATACGTATAAAGTTACTGGGATTCAATATCGAAAGGAATGTAAAGAGTGAATGCATCTGTGCCATCGCAAGCGATTTTGAGCCATGTTGCTCAAAGTCTTCAACCACTGATTGCAGTTGTCACACGGGCTCGAACTACATGCCAACATGCCTCAGATAAACAGTCAGTCACTTTTTAATTTGACCGCCCTTAGCTTTCTTCCAACCTACTTCTTCACCTTCAACCATCATTCCCTGAATCACCACTGGTTTACAATGATAGTTTATCAACTCATCTAACTAAGCCCTTTTTATAACCATTAACGTGATTTAGGCGGCATTTACTTGCCCCAGCTTGTTCACTTTTGTTTAAAAACACGAACTCAATGGTGTATTTTATATTCATAGACTGCTATTTTATAGTTTTTCGTTTGCTTTTCATACTTCTAAAAAGTGTGTGACAAAGAAACTACATGGTTTTATTTTAATAGATCAAATAGATGAATTTTTAAAGCGAACATTGCAAGCAGATCTAATTTTAATGGCTCCTGGTTTATATATTCAAGCGGTACGAGTTACGAAGCCTAAAATTCCTGAAGCCATTAGACGCAATTATGAAGCTATGGAAGCTGAAAAAACAAAACTGCTAATTGCTGAACAACATCAAAAGTTAATTGAACGAGAAGCTGAAACTGAGCGTCGTCGTGCAATAATTGGTAAGTTTATTATTTTCTTCATATTATTCAACTCCCACATACACATGCGTTTCGATAATGCAATGAGAAGACAAAGGTTATCATATTTATGTGATATATTTGCACAATACATTTCGAACAATCTGATCACACATATACTTGTTAAGACACTTTAATATGAAAATTAAAAGCTCAACTAGACAGGTTGAGGTTAAGCCGTAACAAAGAAAATAATAATAAAGTACACAAAAACAGTGTGGTAACCACTCTGGATAATAAGTCAGTATTACCAGGGTAGGTTAAGGGCAACGACAAATTGTTTTTGAACGCATAAAAAGGGTCGCGGTCTCGAAATTTATCAAAGGGACTAATTGTTTTAGATTTCTGAAAAGAAGACTCCCTACACATGTGTTTATCAATTTAAAAATACTGATTTGTCTCTTATTTAGTAGTTTCATATCATTTTCTACTTGAATTTATTTCATTTGTATCATACAGGTCTGCCCAGTTTAGAACTCAGATCTACTGAGACAATGGTTTGGATTCGTTTTATTTTTATATATTCACTGTTATTCAGTGTAAATCATGTTGTCACCACTATTTTATAACAAGTGATAAACTACTCATGTTTTCAAATTGCTGTGACTCAAAGTCTGTAGACTATTAGATTTAATTTTTAGTTAGTTAATATTATGACATCATATGGCACACTTTCGGAGTTAGATATTTATGGTCAACCTATAGAATCCATACAGATATTCTTATTTAACGACCGAGCTGCACAAAAATATTCTAAAGCCAAATGTCGAAATTTTCTGGGATTGTGTTAGTGTAATAGCTGATCAAATAAACATTGACAATTTTCAAACTTTAAATTCCAGTGTTCACGCATCACTTGCCCAATGAAAAGCATAATCCTTTCTACAAATAAAAAAATCAAGCAGTACATGACTATTTAGATCAATAGTATCTATAATTAAAGATACAGATTTATCTTCTACATTTCCGAAAACAGATTGACCATTTAATTTTGACAAATTTTTATACAGTAACCCACAGAATTAAACCAAACTAAGAGAAACACTTACGAATAGAAAAGTAAACTAAAATGTATCAGTATGATTATAACAAAATAGAATAAATGATTTACTGTAACAGAATAATACAACTTGTAACGATAAAATTGGGGAAATAGTTAAATATAACTGTACTTACTTACGCCTGTTACTCCTCGTGAAGGAGCATAGGCCACTCACCAGCATTCTCCATCCAACCCTGTCCTGGGCAATCCTTTCTAGCTCCGTCCAGTTGTAATTCATCCTTTTCATATCTGCTTCTATAATCCGACGCAATGTGTTCTTTGGCCTTCCTCTTTTTCGCTTCCCTTCAGGATTCCAAGTTAGGGCTTGCCTCGTGATGCAGTTTGACGATTTGCGTAATGTATGTCCTATCCATTTCCATCGTCTTTTCCTAATTTCTTCTTCAGCTGGAAGTTGGTTTGTTCTCTCCCACAGAAGGCTATTGCTGATGGTATCCGGCCAATGGATGTTGAGTATCTTGCGTAGACAGCTATTTATAAATACTTGTACTTTCTTGATTGTGGTTGTTGTAGTTCTCCAAGTTTCAGCTCCATACAGTAGAACTGCCTTGACGTTCGTATTGAAGATTCTCACTTTGATATTGGTTGAAAGTTGTTTTGAGTTCCATATGTTCTTCAATTGTAGGAATGCGACCCTTGCTTTGCCGATCCTCGCCTTTACGTCTGCATCTGAACCTCCTTGTTCATCGATGATGCTTCCTAGGTATGTGAAGGACTCTACATCTTCCAGAGTTTCGCCATCAAGAGTGATTGGATTGCTGTTTTCCGCTTTGAATTTGAGGACCTTGGTTTTCCCTTTGTGTATGCTGAGGCCTACTGATGCAGAGACTGCTGCTACACTGGCTGTCTTCATCTGCATCTGTTCGTGTGTACGTGATAGGAGGGCTAGGTCGTCTGCGAAGTCCAAATCGTCTAATTGATTCTGAGTTGTCCATTGTATTCCGTGTTTTCCTTCAGATGTCGAGGTCTTCATAATCCAGTCGACCACCAGAAGAAAGAGGAAGGGAGAGAGTAAACAGCCTTGTCTGACTCCAGTCCTTACTTGGAATGCATCTGTCAGCTGTCCTCCATGCACTACTTTGCACTGTAGTCCGTCGTATGAGTTCCGGATAATGTTGACAATCTTCTCAGGAACTCCGTAGTGTCGAAGAAGTTTCCATAATGTCCTCCTATCTACACTGTCGAATGCCTTTTCATAATCAATGAAGTTGATGTATAGTGATGAGTTCCACTCAACTGATTGTTCGACGATGATCCGTAGTGTTGCAATTTGGTCTGTGCACGACCGATCCTTACGGAATCCAGCTTGTTGATCTCGAAGTTGGGCGTCTACTGCATCCTTCATCCGGTTCAGCAACACTCTGTTGAAGACTTTCCCTGGTATTGACAGTAGTGTAATGCCTCTGTAGTTTTCACATTTGCTCAGATCTCCTTTCTTTGGAATCTTGACGAGGTGTCCTTCTTTCCAGTCCATCGGCACTTGTTCCTCCTCCCAAATCTTTTTGAATAGAAGGTAAGCATGCTTGTGGTTGCTTCGATGTCTGATTTCAGTGCTTCAGCTGGTATGTTGTCGGGTCCTGCTGCTTTCCCGTTCTTGATTTGTCTGACGGCCATTCTAATTTCTTCCGTCGTTGGTGGGTTGACATCTATAGGAAGATCTATGTGTGCTGCTTCGATGTCCGGTGGATTCATTGGAGCCGGCCTATTCAGGAGTTCCTCGAAGTATTCCACCCATCTGTTACGCTGTTGTTGAATTTCGGTGATTGGCTTGCCTTCTTTGTCTTTGACCGGCCTCTCTGGTTTACTGTATTTCCCTGCTAGTTTCTTCGTTGTATCGTGAAGCTGTTTCATATTTCCTTCTCTAGCAGCTTTTTCTGCCGTCGTTGCTAGTTCTTCCACGTATTTCTTCTTGTCGGCTCTAATGCTCCTCTTCACTTGTTTGTTTGCTTCTATGTATTCAGCTTGTGCTTGGACTTTCTCTGCTCGTGTTCGGCTGTTGTTAATTGCTGCCTTCTTGTTCTTCCTTTCTTTGATCTTGTCCAGTGTTTCTATAGAGATCCATTCCTTATGATGGTGTTTCTTTAGGCCCAGAACCTCTTGACACGTTGAAGTTAATGCTTCCTTGATGCCTTTCCAGTTGTCCTCCATACTAGTTTCTTCTTTCAGTAGATCTTGATGCAAATATGATCTATTTGGTTCTCTGTAGTGTGGTCCGGTGAGATCAAATATAACTCTAAGTACTCTTTATTAATAAGTCAAATTGTGAGTAAAATGTGACATGAACTCTATTTTGCATCCGGTTAATATCAGCCAGTGAAATCTTTCATTCAAAAATGTCTTCCTTGAACTTTAAAAACTTAAATGAATCATCGGTCTGCTTTAGTCTTTTTGATAAATTGAATCGTTATTCCACATTATCAAAGTTTTTACAGTAAAGAAATTGTTTCTAACCAGTTCATTTTCAAAACATTACAATCATATTTTCATATACCGCCGTATTAATTTATAAAAAAATTCTATGTTGATTACCCAGAATGTTAAAATGGGTATTTCTGATGAAAAATAAATAAAACACAAGATTTATTAAGCATAGAAAATACATGCAGTTCTTTGGGTAAGTAAATTAAATGTGCGACGCGTTCAATGCAAGTCCTCACTGGGGAGGTCCCGGTCGCTGCTGAAAGTAGTCTTTTACCGGGGAAAAATAACTCCCCAGTATCCTGTGATTTTCAGTGGTTTTTCTAGCTGAAGTCGGTTTGTGATTATAACTACAAGTTGACCGTTCTCCTCAAACCCTTTATTCTAATAATAATAAAATATAGGCAGTACATAAGTTTTTTTAAATGTATGAACAATCAAAACAGAGGCATGGTAAAGACAAAATTTTAACAAACTACATTTGTACACATTTATTTACTTCTAAAAATTTCTATTTTCAATACAAAGCTAACAAACAAAGTATATATCTTGAGTGGGAAGTAAATACGTCCAAACTTGTAAGATTATCTCGTGTTTTCCTTGATCTTTTCGTGATTCCGTTTTAGAAATCTTTTTTCACTTCATCATATTTCGTAGGTGTTGTAATAACCTTAATATGACAGGGATTAGTGATTTGTAGGTCTTTCAAGTCATCTCAAACATAATTGTGACCAATTATTAAACAATATTGTATATGATGTTGAGTTATTTACTTATGGGTATGTGTTAATCGACCGCTATAGGTTATTATCATTTTAATTGAGATCATGAACCGACCAATATTAAACCACCATTGAAAACCCGTGAGTACTAGACGGCCATTTTGTCCCAGTATGAGTACTCCTCAGCAATGTGCATCCACGACTTCTCGCGCGCAAACGCTTAACCTCTAGACAACTGAGCCAGCATCCAACAGTCTTGATGTCTAACTTCAACCAATACGCGGTATTGCGCGACCATCGATTGTTTTTGGTGAGTAACTGCCTCACACCTGACACAGTTGAACTTCACTGGTCGTGGCTTTATGATCTCATTTAAAAATCAACAATCTCCACAATCTTATCTGTTCAATTATTGATATGGCTCTTGTTATGCTTAGATAATAATCAGTTTTTATCATTTGTGTTTATTTCATAACATAACTAAATTCTTAAATAACAAATAAACTTTACCAGTCTTGTATGGTTAATGGTGTCAAATCAGTTACTTCTGGACATATGTAACTTCAAATTAATTTTATAGTTAGTGTTTGTACAGTTCAAAATAACAGTACCAATATAATAAAAAACTTTGATAGTTAGTTATTGCTTAACAATGACTAACATTTCTGATTAATTGTACTTTAGCATTTTTATAATTCCTAATTTTCAGTTTCTTTTAGACTTTCATAATCATTTTTCACTTTATTCCAAAGTTTTTGAACACTATCGACTCATAACATACTTTAGGAAATTTGGTGTTGACAATCTTGAATGTTTCACATATTCTACAATATTACATTCATTATTAGATTTTTATAAACATAAGTTACTTGTAGCTGATGCAAGTTGTTGTTATATTCTTTATTTACCTAAAATGAAGTTTTACTTTTATAATAAATTAGAGGCTGAAAAGCTAGCTGAGGTTTCTGCAATAGAATGGCGAGCTAAATTAGTTGCTCAAGAGCATGAACGAAAAATCAGTGAAGTTGCAGATGCCACACAACTTGCCCGATCTAAAGCGCTTACAGACGCAGAATATTATCGTGCCATGAAAGAGGCTGAAGCGAGCCATTTAAAGTTAACCCCAGCGTATTTGGAATTAGCGAAATACCAAGCTTTGGCACAAAACTCTAAAGTTTACTTTACCGGTGATCAAGGAAACCTTATTATGGATCTTTTGAACCAAATGTCTTCAAGTTTGTCTAAATCAAATGTGTCAACCAAAGACCAGGTCACATCTTCATTTGTGTAGCATTTCATTTTTTAGTAATTATACTACCTAAAATTTTTATATTTCATCCGAAGTTGTCTATTTATGTACATTTTTGTAATATTGTACAATAAACCAGAAACTTTTTACTTGTCAGTTCTTTGTTTTTTATACACACCAACTACAGATGTGATGCTTCATTTTCTAAGCCACTGATCTGTCATAACGTATGCCCTTGCACATGATGTGTTCATATTTTTGGTGGTATTGAAACGTATTAGTATGTTTGCGGTATTAGGAAGCGAAACGTTTTTATTTATTAGCTTAACTAGATTCTACAGGCATGCAGATCTGCTAGATAGAAGCAGCACTTCGTGTTACGAAGAAAGCTCAGTAAAATATTTGTAGCGCTATGGCTGATCAAAGTGGAGCGTCCTTTTAAGGTGACATTCACTGCGATTACCTTGTTGATTAAGACTAGTTTTAGAACATGCGACTTAAGGTTTACCTTGGATATCTGTATATTATGTTGGGATATGTAAGTGCATGGTTTAGCACACAACCACGACATTTCTACTTTAGGTAGCTTAGCCACAGGTCGAGGAATATTCATGTCTCTTCTAATGACATAACTGTTGTCAAAGTGTTTCCTAATTTCTGCTCAATGGTTTCTTTCTCGAGATGTGCCTGTATAGTCGCCGAAGGTGTTAAAGCAGGTTTGGAGAGTTATATGTAGTGGAGTTTTCCAGCCGATTAATCACTAGACCCAGAGAAACAGTGGCCTTAATCCTCTTAAAGACCCTGGATTCTGTGTACACCGTCCTGTCGTTTTACGTGTTTTCGTCAGTTTGTCACAAGAATAACCCCTTAATGATTACTCACCTAAAGCTGGGTTCTTTCTCGTGCCGGCTCGTTACTTTAGTCCATTTTGCATATCAGTGCTTTGTTGTAAACACTGTTAAAGATCTTTTCGAGTTTCCTCAGTATTATTGACAGACTACAATGGCACATAAATGATGTGAGGGAACCATTTGGAATTTCTTTAAAAGTGCGACTATACGCAAGCTCCAATAATGTTAACATGATGTTCGCCATATTTAAATATGTTCTGTAGTGTATGAGAGGATATTTAGTTGACTTCAGCGAAAAAAATGAAGGAAGAAAAGGTGGGGTATGTAAATGACTTGCGAAACAATTAGAGTAAGAAGTAATATATGTATTACGAAAAGAAGTGAAAGGATAAGATTTGGTGACAGGATAGGGGTTTATGCAGAAAGCGCTATGAAGGTATAAGTTGTTGCAATGAATATTCTCCAGGTGTCAGTTTGTGTGTGGTGTAGATAAAATGAACCTGTAAAAGTGGGGAAACTACCGTTCAGTTTGATGTCGAGTGGGTAGTGTTGGCATTAGATAAGGTCCAAGTAAGTGCTGGCTAATTCTTGAGCTGACGATATACGGACAGTGACAACATCATATGAATTAGGTTCAAAAAACTCAAGCCGGAACAACCGGGAGGTCGGATTCCAACGTTATTCAAATAGGACAGGGGTATTGTTCCTCCTAGAGTTAAATTTACTGTTTTGACCGTAAACTACGCATCAGAACTACTGTTCACACTTTAATTGACTTCATTTCAGTTAAATTGATGTTGTACTTGTGTGTATTGACTTTGCTTTCGTGTATCCGTTGCATCAAAGCATACTTAGTCGAATTTAACTAGACTTATGAGGTTAAGGTTTGAGATTTTGTTTTTAAATACCCATTTTTGTGTTACCGTTTTTAGTTAATTTCTAAGATGGTCAACTCTGCTTACAAATATGGACAGCCATATTCCTTATTCCCTGTGGAATAAGGAATGGAATGTAATGAGTGTAAGAAGTGGTTCCATAAGATGTGTACACGCTTAAATCCAACTTTCTATAAAACGCGCCCAACACTTAACTCTCATTGGCTCTGTATGTTTTGTTGTCCGAGCAAAACATTACTCATCCAAGAGAAATTTAGCCTTCTAGCGTTGGCTAACAAAAAGTTTTACTAGGACTGTACTGGTAACATGGGTAGTGATTAGAAGGAATGCGTCAGTGTCGTAAGTGCTGTTACGGCACGTGCCAGCCACACGGCTGTGCAACACGTTATATGGCTTTCTGTCCCAAAACAATCACCGAGCGATACACCATTAGGTACTGGTGACCAAGTTGCAGAAGCAGCGACTGATGACCCAGAAAACCATTATCATCCGACTAGTTGTAATGTTGATGCTGCGACCGACGGGATATGGATGATGCGGAAACATAGAAAAGAAAGAAAGCTAGCCACGAATAGCTCCCATTTATTTGAAAGTTCCTTGGTGAACTTTTCGTGCCTGTTGGCAACCCTCGTTTTATTGATAGAAGAAACCCGACTAGTGGTGAATAAGTCTTTATTTAGATAGTCTCGCAGTCACACTGGGACATGGGATTACCTGCACAAACACACAAAGCTTTTCAACATCCAATATAATGCCTATACAAAAAAGAAGTGAATGGATAATTGAGCTCTACTGTTTTGACATATACTTAGTTGTTTGAGGTAAACTCTAAACTAATCAATCTAAGCTGTTATATAAGTTTACCATAGAATCGACTACCGTAGGGTCGTCGGTTTGATTAATCTATCAACCAGGTAAACATACCTTCTGTTTCCTCAGCCCAAGGGAGTATTACCAAGTTGCTCAGCATTTGACTTCCAGTGGATGGCGACTAAACGAGTCAGCAATCGATGATAATCCATGAATGTCTCTTCATTTACTAGCTTGTTACCTCATTTTGTAGCATTTAATTTCCTCCACAACAATCGCTGATGGTTTGCTATGTGCCCTCTGCATGGTGATCAGAGCTTTTTAGAGTGAAGAGGGTAGGAAAATGTAGTAGGAATGTCCGAGGAAGTGCTGCTTTTCGTCCTACTTGGGACTAATCAGCTGGATGTACCTGCATCCCAGAGTTGATGTTCGTTCTAGGACTCGAACACAGTACCGTTCGCTTCAAACTTTTTCGCGTAATCCACTTATCTACTTAGTCCTGATGGCCACCTGCTTGTGCAACTGGGTGAAGTTTAAATTCGCTTAGCGCTGTTTTACTTGTATCTTTCCATTGTTATTCAGCACTGGGATTGATCAGCCTCATGATGACATATACGTATCCTGTGCGGATTGCATCGGTACGGCGCTAGGTCACAAGCTTTTGAAACAAAGATGGACAGTGGCTAGCAGTGGGATCCAGGACGCGCACTTCGTTCACATTATGCGTTGCAAATGCCTCCTCCAAAGTCTCAAAGTAAGACCCCAAATAGGAAACGTTCGACCTCATTAAACAGTCTTGAGTCATTCGCTCAACTCCCATGACTCTGTTACAAAAAAAATTAACACTGTGGTGACAAGATCTAACAGGCAGAATCTGACATCACGGTCGAAAGCCATGAACACGACTTTTATAGAAGTTAAACAGGTTCTCAGCCCAATTATTTGGAATTTAGAGCAGTTGGAAGCTATGACCCTGCTAAGAGGCATGCACACGACATAAAGTTAGTGGAATCAGGCATGTACTGTTTGAAGAGGTTTCAGGAGTACATATCACCAAAGTAAGACTGGATAATTAGATTTGAGGCGAGAACCAACCAAGAAGGTTCTTGAAGTTTGTACTCGGGAATTTCGATGAAAGAGACGTACTACTGACTAACATTTTCTAAACTCGTGATTCGACCAGACTGACTGCTTGAGGGTCGAACCGAGTGGAACTAAAATGTCTGAAGCTGAATGACGAAATGAACCTTACGACTAAGGGTTCTCGGTAGTCAGGTCTTGTAAGACAATGCTACCGAGACCTGTTTGTGTAGAGCGAATGATTCTCAAAATCCCTACAATGTGTCCTACCCGGACGCACTTAGTCTTCGAAATAAAACGTCCGGGCTAAGCATGATGGTGGATGAATCAAGTCTCGATATAATTGTTGTCACAGAAACTTGGCTCACCTTTGATGTAGACCGTTACCCCATTACTGCAAGCTACTTCTGTATTAAAAGTGATAGAGTTATAAGTCGCAAGGTTGAAGGAATAATGTTGTATGTTGGAGATCACTTTCGCACACAATCAATCATATCAGAGACGCATGTTAGTCGTACGTTCGAGGTAGCAGGCTGTACAGTCAAGTCTAGAAACAAGTTAGTGTCTGTAGGCGGAATATGCCGTAGTCCGTGCTGTCTTGCTGACGGTTTTAACTTAAGACATATCTGTTCGTGGAGTAATGCAGAATGTTGTTTCATCATTAGAGACTTCAGCGCACCGCATATCAACTGGATAGAGCTTAAAAGTCCAGGTGGGGGTTCCGATAGTGACTTTCTATGAACGTCATTCAGTGTGCACTTGTACAAAGTACCGCAGAACCGACACATATTGACTTGGAACGTGACCCGTCATTGTTGGACTCTGTTCTCATACATCACTGTGATGATGTCGTCGATAGTCGGCACCTTCTCTCACTGGTGAATAATGATCACGTTGTACTTTAGTTTAAGTTTTGGACACATGACATACAATATTTATCTGCCCAAACCCATCCAAATATCTGTCGAACTAATGTTGCGCCAGTCAGAGACTGGTATCTCGATTGACTAGCCAGTAAATGAGTTGATTGGAGACGAATGGAATAGGTCTGAGGCTACATTCGAGTCCCTTATATCACTGACTATCACAACTGTCCTTCCATTGATCATCAACCTCAAACTTTGTGAGACATTGGGCCCTAGTGAGTTACATCCACGACTGCTGTCATAGCTTGAGGACGTTATTTCAAGGCCGCTCGCAACGCTCATCAACATGTTCCTTTCACTCGCTGAACTCCATAGAGACTGGAAAGATGTTATAATCAGTCATATAATTGGGGATGGCCAACCTGTCAGTCTAATCACTACAGTCATTAAGCCGCTCGGAGAGAAAATGCAGGTTAAGTCACCAAGTCACATAGATTCTTACAGTCTGTTGATTACGAGCATCGGAATAACAGGTGCTGTACAGAAACGTATGTGAAACATCTTATGTGTCCGCAGACAGTAAGTTTATGGGATGCTACCAGAATGGAAGCCGGCCAAACTCGGTGTACCTCAATGCACTATTTAGGTCACCTATTTTTCCTTTTCC